GTTGGAGGAATAAAGTAGAAAGGCTACTAGAGTTGGTAAGAAATTTAATGAAAATTTGATATTGGGTTTAATCTATATTCAAAATTATAGTAATGAACAAACTATAAGCAATAAGGTAGATATAATATGTTAAAAGGCAATGTAAGTTGTATGATATATATAGTTAAAATTATAAAGAAGATATGGGGCTCTGGTTAAAAAAAGATTTAGTTTTAAAATTTATAGAGCAAGACAATATGAACAATAATAACAATCAAGTTCTAAGAAATCTATATGACAAGAATAACTATCTGCATTCAAATATTGTTTACTAGAGTAGTAAATTATAACAAAGTTATATACTTGCAGAGATAAGATCCAATAGGCAAGCTAGCTCTTTGGTAAAATATTCTTGAGTAGAGATCTAAGAGTGTAGTAGTCTGTAACCAAGGTAAACCAACTTCTGCAAAGATATTGACAGAAGTAGATAATAGCCTATATGACAGCAAAACACTCTTGTTTAGTTACTATATAATTATTTTTTGGTTGCTATTAGAAAGCAACTAGCATAGTAAATAACTCTATCTCTATCTTAAAAGTTTTTTAAGAAAAAATGACCCCTAGAGCCATATTAGGGATATTGGTAAAAAGGAAAAAAGGTTTGTCAAAATCAGAATAAGCTAATATGGAATAGTAGTAAGCCTTTTTTTAAGGATAATAAAGATAGCCTCTTGAGTACTTGTTCAAAAATATTTGGTATCTTTCTTTAACAACAGGTAGAGAGAGGCAGTAATATTAGAGAAATCTTGAATAAACCAACAATAATAGAAGGCCAACCTTAGAAATCTATAAAGTTGTTAAAAGTTGGTGAAGGTGGAGAAGTTTTTGACAAATTTTATCTTACAAAAGTCTATAAATATTTTGTTAGTATTAATGACATATTCCAAAAACTTAAGTTTCCTTTTGCTATATAATATTTTTTGGGGTTTAACCTTAACCTGGCCTTTCAAAGGCAGTCAAAAACTTTAGCAAGATAGGCAACATGTTTTTCAAAAAAGTGAGAAAAAACATTAAGATCATTTAAATAAATGATGATATATTGACTAACAATATCATTAAAGACTCAATCTATCAACCTTTGAAAGATTGCAAAGCATTAGTGAGGCCAAAAGACATCATATTAAACTCGAAAGTTCTGAACCATGAAATGAAAGCAGTTATTTTCTTATTATTTGAATCCATTTCAATTTGCCAGCAATTGCTGGCCAGATCAAGTGAGGTATACCACAAGAAGAACCAAAAAGTGTTTAAAAAATCATCAATTCAGAGAAGAAGATAACTATCCTTCTTAATCATGAAGTTGAGGTGTCAATAATTAACACAAAATGGGTCTTGTTCTTTTGTTTTACAAGGACTATAAGTAAAATCTAGAGCTTTTAGAGAATTAAATAATCTCATAGTTCAATATTTAATCAATTTTTTTCTGAAAGAAGTCTTTTTCTTTAAAGGAGATGTGGTAATACTATTAATGAATAAGAAGAGTATCATTAGTTTGGATATATAAGTGACAAGGTTGGTCTGCCCCAGATCCTGAAATATCTAAGCAAAAAGATCACTATTGCTTGTCAACATGTTTTTGAGCTTGTTATAGTTGTGAATTTCTATATTTAACTTATAGGAAGGTTTTTTAATATTATGAGATAGAATTTATCACTTATTAAATTGTTTTTGTTAAAGTCAATAAAGTCCTTTTTAAAACTAAAGCCACTATTGTTGGTACAAAAGAAGTCTTCATTCTTGTTGTTTTATAATTATTATTGCTATAAATATTCTACCAGGCTTTATATAACTTCAAGCCTTTGGGTCTCTTATTATACTATAAAACTGTTGAGTCATTATTGTTGTAAGATTATCAACAAATGCTTCATTTTGTATTAGCTATTAGAGAACTATTCTTCTTCTAAATAACTGAAAAGTTTATCTTCTAATTTTTTTTTCTATACTTATAGTTAGTTTCTTTCTTGAATATAAAGCTTTCAAATCTGTTATTGACTTCAAAGTAGACTAAGTAATTTTAAAAGGTAATCATTCTAAATAGATGTGTTAAAACTTTCTAAATTCTATAAAGATGGTGATTTCTTTGTTCTCTCAATAGAAGGTCTTTTTGAAAGTAATGTAGTCAATTTTAGTATTGATCTGAATGAGCTATAATAACTTTGTAAAATATAGCATTGTT